AAGCAGCAAAGTTGCGCTGCAGCAGCAGCAGCAGCAAGGTCGAGGGACAACTGCAGCAGCAGCAGCAGCAACAGCAGCAGCAACAGCAGCAGCAGCAGCAGCAGCAGCAGCAGCAAAGTTGCGCTGCAGCAGCAGCACGAAATTTGATCCTAGTTGCAAGGGATTAAGAAAAAGATTGTTTCCCTCCTTTATTGTTCTTCACTAGTTCAATAGCAGCTGCTGCTGCAGCTGACGCTAGTGCAGCAGCTGCTGCTGCAGCTGCTGCTGCTGCAGCTGACGCTAGTGCTGCAGCTGCTGCTGCAGCTGCTGCTGCTGCAGCTGACGCTAGTGCTGCAGCTGCTGCTGCAGCTGCTGCTGCAGCTGACGCTAGTACTGCAGCTGCTGCTGCTGCAGCTGCTGCTGCAGCTGACGCTAGTGCTGCAGCTGCTGCTGCAGCTGACGCTAGTGCTGCAGCTGTTGCTGCAGCTACTGTTGCAGCTGACACTGCTGCTGTTGCAGCTCTTGCTGCTGCAGCTCTTGCTGCTGCAGCTCTTGCTGCTGCAGCTCTTGCTGCTGCATCTGCTGCTGCTGCTGCATCTGCTGCTGCTGTTGCATCTCCTGCTGCACCCGCTGCATCCGGTGCAGCAGCATTTCTATTTGTATAAACACTGTGGTATGTGTTTATGTTTTAATTTTATCGTTTATATGTATAAAAGTTTTATTATGTTTGTGTTTTTGTGTGAAATGCATAGAAGGGTCAACAATATACAAATAAGAAGCGAGGAGGACGAGAGCGGTGCCGCAGCAGAAGAGAGAAGAAGGAGAGAAATCAGCAGCAAGAGAAGAAGAAACAAAACAAGAAAAAACAATAGATAAAGCATTCCCAAAACATTTTAATATATTATCTGCATATTTCAATACAGCAGCAACAACGAGGCCACCAATAGCCTGTATAAAGATAGCAGCAACAGTGATTGGGGTGTATGCATAGAAGAATCCTTTTGTTTTTATTTCTTCTCCGTTTGTATATAAAACACCTACTAAACCTATCAATACACCATATACTGCTAGCTGCATATTATTTATCCATATTGTGGTTTTCTTTTCTTTTAGTATCTTCTCTAAATATACACCAGCTAGGCCGCTTGTTATGCATGCACACAACANGTTTTCTTTTCTTTTAGTATCTTCTCTAAATATACACCAGCTAGGCCGCTTGTTATGCATGCACACAACACTGCAACTAACCCTATAAACGTATTCTGATCATTTATACTCATACTTTCTTCTCCTCCTCCTGCTGCTGCTGCTGCTCCCGCTGCTGCTGCTGCTGCTGCTGCTGCTGCTGCTGCTGGTGCTGCTGCTGGTGGTGGTGGTGGTGGTGATGGGTATTGTATGAGGCTGACCCCTGCAAAGAGAAGAACTAAAGCGAACCACTTAAGGGGGGATAGACGGCGGCCTAGAATAAGAACAGAAAGCAGTGCTGTTGTTAGTATTTTTAGTTGATATGTTACTTGATATACAGCCCCAGATAGATTAGATAAAGAAATAAATATTAAATTATTTTGTATTGCATAAAGAATACCCGGGATTCCTACTTTTATCATTTCTATAGGATTGGCGATGATCCCCGTATACACCGCAGCAGCTGTATTTTTTATATTTTTATTTTGCTCGAGCCATACAAAAGGGAAAGATATTAATAGCTTCACAACCTCAGCACAAACAACAGCAGAAGTTGTAAAATATAGAGATTCTCCCCCCCATCTTCTTGATCGTGATAGACGCAGTATACTTACACCAGCAACCGTCTGAAATACTAAAGCTAACAGAGCCACCCACCGCATAGAAACCCCCAAAAACCGGGGCGGCTTATCCGCCTTCGTGTCGCTCATGTTGAGGCATTCGGAGNCAACGGCGATGAACACCAAAAAAAAAAAAAAAAAAACCAGGCCAGAGAGAAATACACACACACTCCGGCGGAGTTATCCACAAAAAAAAAATAAAAAAGATGAAAATTCAACAGAGTCCCAGCGGCTTAGCGGGATATATGCAGCGCGGCGTCAGCCGTCTGAGCAGCGCAATAGGAAAAGGGTAGGGGTATGAGTTGTGTATAGAAATGTAGAAAATGAGAGTTAAAAGAATTGTATAAATTCTCCTAAATGTGAAAAAAGAACATAAAAACAATGCAGAAAAATAAAAATTAATTTTTATTCTATTTTCCGTTTCAGAAGATCGCAGCGGCGACAGCAGCGGCTGCCGTTGGCACTGAACCGACGGCTTGTGTAGAGGGGGCACCAGAGAGGGGAAACGATGATTAAATATTTGTTTAAAAGCATGAAAAAGTGTTTATCTGTAATGAGGAAGTCCTGATCTCTTCTTAAATAGCTTAAAATGAACGCTTTCCCCCTTCTCTCCCGCATGCATTGCAACAATGCACGGGGTGTAGTCGGCGGCCTCTGCGGCAACCGGCTGACAAAAAGCACAAATTCTTTCTCTCGTCGTTTCTTCAGCACAGACGGGGGCAGACTTTTAAACCCAAACCCGCGGCCTACGCAGTACCAGACCGTCATAGTCAACGAGGCAGTAAACCCCCCCCCAGGCAAACCCTTTAGCTTTACTCCCTTCTTTATCGGTGCCGGTGCATTCATGGTCATCTTCCCCTGCGTACAAACCACCATGGAGCTGCGCAAATACTACAGAGAGGTAAGCACAGCGCATGCAGCCCCGCTTTCTCCCCTCCTCTTTTACACCGTAGCGGCCGTTGTATTATGTATTGGCTCTGATACTTCAGCTTACATTCTCGTTGCAGTGTACGTACTACTCGAGCGTCCTCTCTCCCCCTCTTGTATACGAAATAAAGGAAAACAAAGAGCAACATAGCGACCTTCTTTGAACTGTATATGAACACAGTTGAATCTGCTTAGCTGCGTTGATTGTATCTTCTTTGTTTTGTTTGCATGCGGGGAG